AAACAATAAAAAATAAGTTATCTAGTTTACGAAATATCAATTATTACTTATTACATACCTTAAATTAATGGAATTTTCTTTAAAAAAATATTTATAAATTTTGACACGTACGTCAGATTTTATGAATTGTCAAATAGTTTCCTTTAATTCGGGAAATAATCTAGACGTATATCACTCAACCTATAAATTTAATCTGTCAAACTATGCTCAGTAAGTTTTTTATTTGATTTTTCTTTTTGGAAAATAGTTTCATGCAAAATAATTAAATTATTTTGCATTCAACATTTTCCAACAAAAACCAAACAAAAAACTACTGAGCCTAGTTTAACCGATTAAATTCATAGTTCTCGTGATATAATGTATGAATATAAAAATAAATTGACATTTATGGTTAAAAATTTTGCAAAACATTTTGCACACATGCAGGCCCTTAAAAAGTTTGAAATTAGCTTAAGAATTCAGGTGCCACGCGAGACCGATCAGACAGGAATTGTCCCGTACGGCGAGCATATAATGTAATAATAGAAAAGGAAATGGGTGGAATGCAAAATTGCAGCAGTGTACGCGTAGGAACCGGCGACTTTTCGTCGCTTTTGTCTGAACTTCCTACACACGCTTTTACGCACGACGAAATCTATTAGGTTCTAGCTCGTAATTATGGGTCTGGCAGTCTACTGCATCGCCACATGTGTGCAATATGAAGTGTGATATTCGACGGTGAATGGAAAATGATAATTTTTTTTTGGGGGCCGGGCCAAATATCGGGTGTCATACGTATGTTTTATATTAAAAGGAAATCTAATGTTGTAGACTTGTGTCTAATGTCTTGGGTTGCGCATCAGGATAGTTAAGATTCAAGGTAAGAGGTTAAAAAATACAAGTTTAAAATGGTTCTTTGCTTTTAAAAAAACAATTAATTTCTTATAAAACGATGTATTACTTGACATATTTATAGGAAGTAAACATAATTTCTTAAACCTCTATTAATTTATTTATTTGAAGGTAAGGTTACTATATTGAACAGTGGAGGATTGGAAGATGACCTTGTTTCCTTTTTTGAGGAGAAATTTGTCGATTTGCCATACCTACACAGAAAAAAATACATTTCTATATCCAAAAATAGTTCTATACTTATAATTTTATATTTGACCCAATAAAAATTTACTTAGTAAAACAATACTTTATTATTCATTGAAGTATTTGCTTAATGTTAATTTTCAACTCATTGAATATTCATTTTAAGTATTTTATGTTCAAAACAAAGAAAAAAAAATATTTTATTAAATAAAGGATTGTTCTTAAATTAAGTGAAAATGTTTTTTTTTAATCCATATAATTTTTCAATTAAAAACTCGAATAAAATTTCAATTAAATATTTTATCTACTCCTACATTGACGAGCTGTGACTTCATGGCGTTTTAGTCACGGGCTGAAGTTAGCAATAGTGGCTTTGGGCATTTTAGTCACAGGCTGAAGTTAGCTTTATTATAAATTGGGGAAAGTGATGTTAAATCCGTTGACATTTGACAGATGTCAAATGTTTAAGAAATAAAATTGGCTTTAAATTCTTCTTTGTGTTCGTCGTTGATAAAGTATAGTATGTGACTCGTTTTATAAACTTCTTTAGACACTCGTTTTTATTAAACACTCGCTCGCAAGCTTTGCTCGTGCCTAATAAATGGCTTTTATAAAACTTGAAAAATAACATTTTTTTTAAGAGAATATAATTATGCCTAAATAAAATGCAAACGTAAGTCAACCTGTAAAGGAAAGGGAGGCTGGAAATTGGTTGGAATTATTGATTTCAATATTTGAAGGGAAGTTTTATTTTTCCTATAGATTTTTTCTACTTAGAAAAAAGTAATCTCTTGCTTTTACTATATTTGGCTTGGCTCAAATAAATTATGTATTTCTATATCTACAAGAAGATATTTATTTAGTGGAAAACTTGGATTTATTTGACTTTTTAAATTGATATTTGGTTAATGCAAGTAAATATCTAGTTGACTTTTTATCTCAGCTTTAGTAGAAGCTTACTTAAAGAAACAAAACCTACATCCAAACAATTTAATTAATTGCTCTAAATAAATATTTCTTAACAATTAATTACAACAATAAGTTGTTTTCAAGAAACTTATGATTTACAATCAAATAATAGTATTTTCTCATTGTAAACAACAAGTTACTACGAATAAGAAAATTTTACTTCATACAAGAAATCCTGTTTGAAAAAAATGCATTTTCTTAAATCAAGAGATTACTTTTCAAATTTCTGACGGTTTGAGGCTGGTTTAGTGGATTGAGCAACTGCGTTTCAATCTGAGGTGTTGTTGCAAACGGTTTGGGGCCATTTTCTGCTAGTTCTCACTTAACGATAGAACGCTTATTTCGAATCGAAAATGTGATGCAGTACCTACCTACTGCCTCAATAGAGTTACCACTTTGTTAGTTTTACTAAAATAAATATATGAATGTATTTTTATAAATGTTTTTTTTAACATACCTAACTTATTTCACATATCAAGTGTAAACACTGATTAAAGCTTTCCTCTTTTATTATATTTGACTAAAAAATATATTACATTTTATTTAAAATAAATTTAACCCACAGGTATACTTAAAGGGAACGACCTACTAAAGCAAGTAAAACCCCAAATTAAAATCAAATAAAATGTACTTTGTATTTTCAGTAAAAGTATAAGTACAATATTTTTGAAACTAAAATAAAAAATACTTCAGAGTAGTATTATTAGTTATTAAAACAATCAGGGGAATTTTTAAAATAAGTATAAGACATTTTTGGAAATAAATGGTAGTTTTCCCAATAATGATAAGTAGTTTTTTAAATAAGAATAAGAATACTTGATCATTAAATCCAGCTTAATCTTAAAACAAATTTTTAGACATATTAATATGTCCACATATGATACGAATTGTCAACTAAATCAAATTTAGGTTATATCAAATTTTTCTAAATTACATCGCCTAGGTTAAGCTTCTCGTAAACACAATGGAAAAACAATACAACAGAAAAGAAACAAAATGGTTAGTGATAAAAATCATTTAAATATTAGTATGTTTGGCTATCGTGGTCAAAATACGACGTTGCCAAATTCTTGCTGTTATAAACACACCATTATAAAATCTAAAATATCACAATTTTGTATGTTTATCATTGTTAAATGTTTTTTTATACAATTTATATAAAATTTATTATACTTCCCAAATAGGGACAAAAATATGGTATGGTGCAATTATTCGGGTAATTTTACTTCCCCTACTTTAACCCCACGAAAAGTCTATGTTATGCAATGATTTGTATTTGTGGAAGTATGTGAAATTAAAAACCCTAGTGGCATCTACCGGCGATATTTAAAACTTACACTACCCTAACTATTTCAGCTGTTCACTTTCACTAAATAATTACTTTTTTTTATTTTAAGTACTGAAATTGTTTTTGAATAAAAATGTACAAAAAAAATAAACTATTATTATTACATATACAAAAATAAACTATAGTTATTATTATTATTACATATATAATAATAAAAATAACAATAAAAATAAGATCAAATATTGTCACCTGCTTCAATTAATTTTTTATTTTTTTAAGAAAATTCAGCCAGTTGAATAAAATCCTTAATCAAAGTTTTAATTAACGACTTAACGAATAATATTTTTTTATAAGGTGAAACTGCAGCTTTCATTAAAACATCTATAGGACAACGTTTTTGTGTCAACTTTATTTTTTAATAATAAACGTTTTTTTCCACTTTATAATTATGTTTAATTTACATATCGACATCTGTTTTAAGGGCAGGTGTTTTTTCCAGCACGAGCCAAACACCTTGTCTATTAGGTATTTATATTCCCCTGCTTATAAATTATCTCCATTATTTATCTAAATATCTACGCAACGGAACTTTCGGTTAATAAAAGACGTTTTTAAAACTTATTATCGATTTATTTCAGTACATTATTGCAATTGCAACTTTTATAAAATATATTTACAAATAACTTAGTTGGTCGTATTTGCTTAACAACTAGTAGTAAGGAAAATTGAGAAACATTTGTATATTGATATAAAAATTTAATAAGTACGATTTTTCATAAATTTTAGAGAGCGCTTTTGTTTTAATCGTATTGCAATCTAAACTTAACAATACTTATTGGAATGTTGTAAAACACTAAATATATAATAATCTTACAAAATAGTTCATATAAACAATATATACAAATTTGTATGTACAAACAATGACTAGATAACTTGACGTAAACTCTAAAAAACAGATCCTCAAAAATATTGTTGTAAATATCACTTGGAGATTCGAGAAGGCACTGGAGTTTTTGATTATAAATTTCTGGACCGGCCTTTCAGTAAAGATCTGTAACAAAAAAAATAAAACATAAGCAACAATGCACAAAAAAAGTAATGTAAATCGAATTTCGTGATTAGCAAGTACGCTTTAGAGAAAAAAATCTCAGACACTATTGTTCGAAATCAAGAAACGTAAATCAACTTAAGAATTATAAAGAATAAGTTCTTAAGAACAAGTCTTTTAAGACCCCAAGAGATCTTTTTGAAATTGGAGGTAGTAAAATGTAGGGTAGGATAATATATCGCGGGAATGAGCATTGTACCAGGTAAAATCGAAAACAGGTATATAAAGTTTAAGATTCAAAAAAATTATGCAATTGAAGTTTGTCAAGAAATTCGTGCAAATAAATTTGAGACTGCATTAAAGTCATAGAGTGTGGGAAAAATGATGGATCTATTGATTATTGACTACCTACCTGAGTTTAAAAGCGCGATTTTGCCAAAGAAAGAAATTTGTACACGTGCAGGGTTCAAGAATCGCTGGGGTGTATTAATTTTGTAACGTTTTTCTTCACATGCATGACGTATTTAATTTAACATTTGGAACAATTGTGACAATTAAAATTTATAACATAATGACGACTTTAATTTGGTGATTAAAGATACATACCGTGTAAGACTGTTATTCTTGCTGCCAGGAGAATATGGCATCCAAAAGTTCCTCATCCTCGGGACTTTTTGGGTCGTAATTTTCGTAGTTTTCTTGCTGGTGGTACAGGGTGTTCGTGTAGCTGGAGTGCGCTGAGAAGGAGCTTTCTGAGCTGTGAGAAGGTGTTGGAGAAGCTGACGCTTCCGAACAGGTTGGAGTCGGTAGAAGGATGGGGTAGTTGTTGTAGAGTTGGGTGTTGTTAGGGCTGCTGGTGTAGTATCTGTTATCAACGCTGGAGTCACTGATTACAGACCCGTTGCCCATTTCACCTTCGTGGTCGTCAATCATCTGTTGGAGGGATCTGATGTATTCCACCGCTAATCTCAGGGTTTCTACTTTGGAGAGCTTCTTGGAGGCTCCACGGCCTTGCGGCGCACTTTGAGGCGACAGAGCTTGAGCGACACTTGCGGGGATGTGCGATCTGAGGGTGGCAAACCCGTTGTTCACTTGTTTCACACGGTTTCTTTCGCGAGCGTTCCTTCTGGCCACGGAAGCCGGCTGCTGAGGTGGTGCACCGTACGGCACGAATTGAATTTTCCTCTTGCAACGCAAATCCGCGTTGGTTTGCACTAGAACTGTTCCTCTTTCGGGTGCCGGTGCCAACGGGCGCTTCCCGTTCATCATTTGTTTCTGTTGCGGAGCCGACACGATAACACAGTTCTGCTGCTGCTGGATGACGTTGTACATTTTGTTCTGTTGTCCCAAAGTCATGGTGTGCAGAGTGAGAGCCATGAGGTAAACGCGAGGTAAGCACTGTAACGAAAGCTACTGGAGATATGATTCCAGTGGGCGCTTCGCAAGCTCTTTGTATGCTCGCCGGGCCTCCCCACCACCGGGGGTTGCTTCGGGTGGGGGGTGGATCGCGTGCCGTTTGGACGTGCGACGTGAGTCTGTGGCGGCGCGCCGAGTTCGGCCGAGACAGTGGTCCAGTGGGCCGGAAGCTGTTCGGCCGCTTCGCTCGCTCAATGGGCCGCGCTCTGCTGTTTATCTTTCGCAGGCGGCTTTTGATTTTGGCACCGGCCGACGACTTTGCATCTGCCAAACACTTGTTAATTAAATCGACAAGTCGCACGACCTGCATCTACACCCTCTGTTCTTCTATTACAATTCCATTTTAGTGAGTTTACCAGTTGCTCTTACAAAACTATTAACATATTATTACCTTTAAATTTAACTCTTGAAAGTAGCAATTTTTTAAGTACTAAGTGAATTCCCAAGTAGCACAACTGGTTAACTAACTAGCATTCTAACTAAATTAATCAAAAAAATTTAATTATGAAATTTTTTTTAAGGTTACTATGAACTAAAAAATAACCATTTAAAACTAGTTGCTATAACCTTAAGATAAATTCAGTATAATAGTATAAATTAATATTACTAGCAGGTTAAATATTTGGTTTATTTATAGTCAATTTAAACTCTACATAAATTAAGGTTATTTCAAGGGTTTAAATTGACTATACTATATAATATATTACTTATAAGTTAAAAGTAGGTTATTTTAGAAGAAATAATATTGTATTAATTTCTAATTTTTTTTTATATAACATTTTGGTAAATTAACCACAGCTTTGGTTAATTTGGATATATTTCTTTAACCAACCATATATTTTAACTCGCTGGTAAATTAACGTTAATTAATAAACTGGTTAAAAAATGACGGTTTTGCAGTTTTTATTGTTACTGCATAGAAAAATAAGTCTCAATACAGCTTTATATACTTTAAACATGAACTAGTCAAACATTTCCCAAAATTTAAGTCAATTCTTATGTAATATTATCCCCAGAATCAAAAAAATTTCGTCAAAAGTTAAAAAAGTACAACAGTTTTTGAGATATAGTCAATTTTCCATTTAATATGGAATTGACTATATCTCAAAACCTACTCCACTTTCATAATTTTTGATGGTATTTTCGGATTCAGGGGACAATTTTACATAAGAATTTTGGGATACCATGGTATTCCATTGTTAACCATGGTACAAGTGAAAAAGCAGCCACTAATAACTATTAAGCTAGTCATTTTTGACTAATTCATTTTTAGAGAGTATAAAGTGAGTTTTGTGTGATAATGGAGCTTAAAAGAAATAATTTTAAACAAAAGAAGAGTTAACAAAGTTGTAAATAATTATTTATTTACAAATCTTAAAACAGTCCCCTGACATTTAATTAATTTGGTAAGCACCTATAGGTTTTAGCACAGAACAGATGCGTTTTATAAAAATAAAGCAGTTTTTTTTAAGTTAATATATTACAAAGTGGTTTAAATAAACTGGTAGGTTAATTTATATTGGTTATATAACTAATTAATGAAATCATCCTAAAATCGCCCTATTGTAACAAAAGGAAATTCCATTAATTTAATTCTTCATGTTTTTTTGTCTTCAAAAATAAGGTAATTTAAATAAACCAATAATAAAACATAATATTATTTTATATTTAAAAGTATTTTAAATACATTTTAAACGAAATAAAATAAAAATAGGCAAAAACAATATTTTTTTTAAATTTTTATTTTAGTTATTTTTTATTGTTTTTAAAGCGCATTTAAAATTTAGTATTATGTACTTTAAAAATGGTGAAATAAACCAAAAATTACCAAATATTAACTTCTATTGAAATTTAGTTTTTTCTTAAAATGCACTGAGATGAAAAACGTTTGGTAACCTTGTGATTATTCAAAATTTTAACAAAACTTTAGTAAAACTTAATTTTATTCAAATTATACACACCCAACACTATTTTGCCTTAATAAAAACAAAATGGTATGTAATTCCAAAACCAAATTTAAATATCCATACAATAACCAAAAACGTATAAAACTCCATAAAAGAGCAAATCCAATTTTGAACATTTTAATGATGAAGTTCCCAAATAAAATTTCAGTCAAACTCATTAAAAAACTGATTATTTATTATGGATCTTCGAGGGTTCCCAGACTATCCAGGCATCGAAATTTTTATACCTGTTCTCAATCAACCCCTAATAAGTTCGTGGGATCAGTTCTAGATGGCGCTGAGAGTTTTATTCGAAGGAAGGGTGCTTATTCAACAAGTTGCCCATGTTTTTCGTTCAGTTATGAGAGTTTAATGGTAAAGATATATTTTTGTTTGTTGAATTTAAATAAATAGTTGGAAATCATATCTAGCACGTGTAATATGTAAACAAGTTTACTTATCAGTTCGAATTTTGTTTACTCTTGTTGGGATGTAGATACACTTTTATTTTCTATGCTCAATTATGGGTATTATAATAGAATTTCATCATCAATAAAAGTAATCTAGAAATATATTTTTGTAGAAGATATTCTAAAAAAATTTATACAAAGTAGCAATCAACTGGAATTAACCAAACCCTTTTAATTAAATCGACGTGTGAAGAAAATTGCTAGCTTTATAATTAAGTTTACTCCAAATTAAAATTCACCTTTAAGATGACTTGAAAATAATGAATTTGTCAGTCACAGAGCTGATTTTATCGTGTTTTTACGCGGGGCAAAAAACAGAAAAAAAACTTTTATGCCAAGTCACCAGTTTAATGTGTAGATTTAATTTAATTTTGAATAAATTAATTAAGCGATAGGTAGAAGCTCATTAGGGATTATTATAAGGCTCATTATTGATTTTATATCTCTCACATCTCTATACTTAGTGTTTTGTTTTATCGTCTAACCATGTATTTTAGGATCTTTTTAAAGGAAAAACGCTTATATTATAGCCGAGCTCAGTGTTATTTTCAATGGTAAACAACAATTAATCCTGTTTACCATTGGAAAGATTCAAAACATTATTTAATCTCATTTTAATTACTTTTACATAATAAATTGAACTCCCTCAAACTCAAACAGTTTAACAAGTTAGATGACACATTGACTTAGAGGGAGTTGTTTACATTGTAACAATAATATTAAAGTACTCCATAAATTAAACGAGTGTTTAAATATGACAGAGCAACTACTTAAAGAAAATTTACACCTCCCAATAAAAATATCATTAAATTAAGCCAATTTAAAATAATACACACTTATAAAAATGTAATCATAAACTTTAAAGTACTGCAAAGGCTTTAAGCGTTCGACCATAAAATTGTCATTTGTTATATAAAAGTTGGAAAAAGTCTCGTTAAGAGAGTAATAGCTCACCATAAATTTGTAAAAGCTGATTGGCCTAATTTCGGAATGAATTATAAAAAGCCTTTAATTGGTGGTAAAAAATAAAAGCAAAAATCTGAGAAATGTTGAAGAGTTCATTTGTTTTGGACGGCTTTGACGCGCCGCTCTGTTACCTGCACTATGTCCTCAACTTAAAGGACACTATTGGTAGGTACAATTAATATTATGTCGAACGTTAGTAATACTATAATTTTTAAAGCTTGGTTATAAGTAAAAATGAACTCTTCCATTAGTGGACAACTTCAATTTTTTTCACACGAAACCTTTTAATCAAGAAACCGTTAATCCTCGAACACAAAACGGTTCATTGTATAAAAATATCCGCTCGATATCGTGAATCTCTCTATCAAAAAGAAAAAACTACAACAAAGGGGTAGGTCAGTTTAATTGAGAAGAATAATGGGGCTATACTTTAGGTATTGTATTCAAAGGGCGATTATATCGGGGGTTGATTAATCCTTCCTTCGATCCGCAGACACGCTTTCAATGTTAAAATTAACCAATGATTGTTTACAAGCGACACGATTGTTTGACATGTCTGTTAAAGGAGATATCATGGAGCCTACACTGTGTGGGCTCATAGGGGATATAATGGATCTTATAAAGCATCTTATAACTGTAAAAAATACTAAAGAAATAGGTATTATAAATTTTCCCAACACCAAAAACAAACACAAAGTGCTTAAAGTACTTTCAGAAGAGAAGTGTAACTCAGTTACACTTCGCTTCTGAAGATGCCAATATAATATTTGTTTACCATATCATCAAACTTGTCCTTTTTCAAGTAAGTACAAAATACTGTTTTATTGTAATTATTATTTAATTAAAACATTCTATGGTATCATATTTGCATTAATCCAAGGTTCATAGTAACAAACGTTGGTACAAAATACTGTTTTATTGTAATTATTATTTAATTAAAACATTCTATGGTATCATATTTGCATTAATCCAAGGTTCATAGTAACAAACGTTGGTGAATACGGTGGGTTGTGTTGTGCCGCAGCTAATGGAGAAAGACGTAAGCCCAAAGAGGGTTTTACCCGCCAGTGGTCCTCCTGAATCTCCTCCACATGGAGTTTGACCACTTGTACTGAAGGCGCAAATATGACCTTCATTTATTATTCCTTGATAAATTGAATTGTTGAAAGTTAGCATGTTTGATGATAGTAGGATGAGGGAGTTTAGGGTTCGAGTTCCAACTAAAAATTTTAAAAATAATAAACCACAATATGAAATAATAGCTTATTTTTTACGTACGAACGGGTAGATCCAGTTGAACAAATGCTCCCCATCCTAGAGTAATCAGGGCAGTGTTATCAGCTGGTTCTGATATACATAGTGGTATGGGTTGGATGGTGTCGCAATTTGGTAAAGGTTCTGTTAATTTTAAAATAGCAATATCGTTTATTGCGTACTGGGTTACGCTGTTGGTTAGTATAGCAAAATCTTCGTGGCATCTTATAGTGGAGATTGTAAACACCTTTACGAGATATTGGTATGGAGAGCCAAAACCAACACCTATGGCACTTGGGTCTGAACTAAAAAAAATACAATAGTGATAAAATTATAAAAGGGAATATTAAATTTACTTTTGTACTAAATGGCAAACAGTCACAGCGTATTTAGGGGAGAATGCGACAACTTGTCCATATCTATCACCAACAGTCAAGGGTATAGGTACAAGTGCAACTAACTGCCCTACATATGGATCATCATGGATATTTGCGACATATCCATTAATAATACCTTCAATCAAAAAAATTATTAAAAAAATCTTTTTTGGTGTTATATATTGTATCAACTTACCATAACAGGTTTTAAAATTTATTAGCAATATAGACAATGAAATGAATTTTAACATTTCGCAAACAACTTAATAACGACAAAACTAATCGTTAAAATTTTGTTGTTTATTTAAAAAAAATATGCAAATTTTTAGAGCAAAACAAATGTATTATTTTTTAATTTTAATTCATAATCTATCCATATCTTATCTATTGATAAACACTATATATGGAGAAGTACAGGGTATTCGGAAATAACTTTAATATATTTCTGGACACATTTAGATGAAGTTTACGCTGCCCAAAGGATAGGACGAGGAAGGCCAATTATGTAGCCTCCTCCTTCTCCAGATTTGAATACTCTAGACTTAAATCATTGGTGTATGCAGTATTTTATTTTACTTTAAATATATTAATATAATTTAACCTTTATTAATCTTCTTGTCGGACCTACAAATTGATTCAAAGTGGTACTACCACGTAAACAGTCATTAAATCGTACTCTTAACTCCCGGCTCGTGCCCATATACTTTATGTTGATCTGGTCTAACTCAAGTGCCCGTGAAATACGCTTAACAACAGCATTACACCCATAACGTGGTATACACGTCGTATTATAACAATAAAATACGGCATCAATCATGACCCACGGACTACTGTCCTATCGCCGCGCCTTGAGAAAAAAATCTCACGAATCATCGTACAGTCAGTCCACGCTTTATCGTAAGAACCGACAAGTACAAGGTCCATTAGGGAATAATGGTGAAAAAAGTTGATTGAGTAGGTGAACAATGACAACTAATGGAATATAAAAGTGTGAATGTAATGTTCGATGATAAGTGTTCTTTATAAGCTTCTTTATGTATACATATATATACAGCTGCCGATTAGTTGGCCTTGAATCAAATTAGGTATAATGAATTGACTGCTACTTATCAATGATTTCTCAGTGGTTTAAGTAGTAATTCATATCTAATTAGAAAAAGATAATGCAACATTTACGTGTGAATTATCGCTTTAAAAGTCACCCAGTAATCTGATGCAAGACGACTACTAAAAACGTAAAATGATCACTTATAAAGTGCGTTTTTTGTGGCGATAAAAGTGACTACTTTAATCGCCTATCATCAACAGTAAGTTACGACTCAACAGCAAATATTTACAAGATGATGCTACGCAGGATAATAATTAACTTTTAATCATGCACGCTATGAAACATGGCCGCCATTAAATTTGTATCGTGCTGCAACGGTCGCAACTAATGCGAAAAAAGGTTTATTAATTTTAAAGGTAGAACTGTTTTAATGAACGCCTTTGTTTAATATGTGGTTTTGGCTTAAGACAATACATACATCCAGGGTATTAGAAACATAAGAAGTATATTCTTCATAGTTAAGAAAAAACATTGAAACATGTTTTAACGATATACATTAAGGTGTATAACGTGTAACGAGCTAGACAACTAAACCGAATAAGTAAAAACTCATTGAGTTTAAAGTGCTCATTCACGATAATCCACACCAGTAGTATTTTTAAGCACAGCAAACCTGTTAAATGGATAAAAAAGTAGCCACAATGAAGATCTTAATCAACTAACTAACCAAGGTTAGTTAGCAGTGGCCGGTGTAAATAAATGTCAATTAATTTGTAAGCTTTAATCAATTTATTTAGGGAATAACTGGAATCATATGAATTAGGAAGCTTTCGGTAAAAACTAAAGAAGAATTCCGCATTGATATGTAAAAATCAAGTAGTACTATTTACGTCTAATATATTCTGGGCTTTGTAATATTTCCATGGATCAAAATGCGTAAAAAGCTCGGTGAGTATAGGAATACTTTTTGGTTTCGCCGCTTGACATTGATGGGTGGGAAATTGATCACTTTCGTTTCAAAATTCTATTCTTTTTTTTTCCTATCTCTTTAATAAAATGCGCTTTCAGTCGCATAACTGATTAACTATGCAAGATTTATTGACTATAATGGAACTGCTTCTTACGATTCCTTTTAGTATCTAGAAAGATTTTCTATGCGTGCGGCACAATACAAGTTTTGATCTGGGTTTTGTTGTATGATGTTTTATCAAAAAATCAAAGAATTTTTAAAATATCCTCTTCAAAAGTTTTTAAGAAGTTAAAATATCATCAAAAGTATCTGGGGAAAAGTCTTCGTTTGATACGGGTGATGTGAAAATGATTATTTTTTATTTTTGGTTGTTTTACTGTTAGTCTAGAATGGGGTTTTTGGGAAACCACCAGGTCTAGTAATAACATAACATAAGTGGTTCTGTACTAATTCAAGAATTTTAAGAATTCATACATTTTGAATATTAAAGCTTCACGGAGGTTAGGATTTGGTATGTTTTTTTTAAACATTCCTTTGAATATTTGAAATAAGTTATTGTATCTTTTAACACCTTAATATTTTTTTAAAATACAATTTTACATACAAAAAATATTTATTAAAAAAATCTACTTACTGAGATATTACACTTCACGGTGGATAGGTTTTTAAATAGCAAATTAATGAACTTAAACTTTTGAATTATAAAACAGCAACACTCTCATCTGCATATAAATTCTAACTGACCTTCAGGAATCACATGCATCTATAATGTCGTAAACAGAGGTTTTTGCTTATTTAAAATGATTAAAGCGCCATCCGTTGCATAAAATATAAAGAAAAAACAGATTCACGGAGGATAGAATCAATTTCTCTAACACCTACATAAATGGTTATAAAAAGTATTTCTTTTAATTTTTAATAATATTTTATATTTGATTCGATTGCTTTGGATGTGTTTAATTTACTTAGTGAACTGATATTTTTAGTATGCTTTTACAAGTACCTACCATAAGTATTTTTTCTAAGGGTGCCGACTAATTTGTAAAAAAAAAATGAAGCATGTATTTGTGTCTGATAAATACTTTCATCGCCCGATGTCCCAAATCGACAATCAATCTTATTAAAAAAATCACATTAGGCTTTGATAATAAATGATGTGGTGATGTGCCAGCCGATCGTCTATTGTTTGGCATTAAAGATGGACGAAAACAAACGCTAAAACGATTTGTAACGACGCTCACTACTAACAAGACCATCATTAATAATTCACGTTATACCGTGCTCTATTGTTGTATTATTGGATCATCGAGAAAAAAATAGTGAAGAATAGATGAGGAACTAATGGATAATGCCCGGCTGGGCTATTTTACGCTTTATTTTGAATTAAGTTTTGTAATGATGCCTCAGAATACTATTCAGTACGTTATCACTCAAAAGTGAATCTAGAAGATTCTGAATAAAATAAATAGAAGCTGTGGAACCACTTATTGTGTAGTACCTACTCCAATTCTGCCATTCAAACTTTTTTTAATACGACGTCACTTGACAAGCGGAATGGGAAACGCGTCGGTCGGAATACCGCTATAGTGACAGGTCTTAGTGATAAGTAAAGGTGTTGCCTTTGATTATTTAGCATATTTTTTAAATAAATTTTAATGGAATCACCGTTTAAGACGCATTTATACATTTACTCGCAAAAGTATGGAACAAATTCAAAAATTTGTCTTTTTTTCCAAAAAAGAACCTTGATTTTCTTTTCTTTTTTTTTCATTTAATATGGAATTGAGTATATCTCAAAAAATGCCCCACTTTCATAATTTTTGACGGTATTTTCGGATTCAGGGGACAATTTTACGTAAGAATTGGCTGTTAAATTTTGGGATACCATGGTATTCCATGGTTAACCATGTTGCAAGTGAAAAAGCAGCCACTAACTAATTAACTATTAAATTAGTCATTTTTTACTAATTCAGTTTTAGAGAGAAGGTTTTTAATAATTCGATCTTAACATTGCTCCACCAAACCAGGTTTTTGGAAACTCAAAAGAAGGATATTAAAACTAATAATAGATATAACCTCAAATATGAAAAAACAGTTTTTTCACTTTTGGTTTAGAACTTCTTGAAAACCTGTGTAGAAAAGGAATTTCTTTAAAACTGCATTTAAGAAAGTATCCTTAATTACTTAAAACGACTTAATTAAGTATGTAAAGCAATTTTTTCTTTAATAAAATTGATGATCGAGCAGCAGTTAAAAACAATCGCAAAAACTAAGCGAATCTCTTGGACACATGTCCTTTTAAAAAGGTGACAACAATTAAAGAAAATTGTCGAAGAATTTCTACTCATTAAAATTTAAATATATATATGCACCTTGTGTCAAAATTGGGTCGCTTTCAAGCAGCAGAATAATCAGTAAATATTTTTCCAATTTCAGAAATGCCATTTAACGAAATTATAGAGGGCTATTCTTTTCGCTACTGTTTCCAAAAACACCGCATAATTATGCTGTGTTTTAAATTCATGACTAAATTTAGGCATGTATATATTAACCGAGTTTTCGATTTGTAATTATGCAAGCCATTTCTTACTCAATCCCAACACCTAAAATGTGTACTAAGCACAAATCCACAAAAAATATTCATGGCATTGAAAAACAACTATCAATAAAAAACTGCAAGTCGCATTTTGCTAATTATTATTACAAAAACTTGTTACTGAAACACCAAGTCAGAACCAAGTTTTTATCAATGTTGTGGCACTATGTTTTCACTTAAATATAATTACAGGAGAATTCCCTTGGTCTACATACAATGTCTTAAACTGCGGAAGTCATAATTGATATTGAAAAAGTTTGTTTGTTTTCTTAACTTAAATAAAGGATGGTAGGTAATGATGTAAGTTCTTACAGTGAAGGTGAGAAGAAACACTATAAAATGGTTGTTTTTATATTTTACTAAACGTTCTTCAAGAACAAAAATCGATCTATTTTTAATTGAATACAAAGTAGTAAAAGTGGTTGACGCCTATTTTCAGCTAGTCGCGAATCTAGTTACCCGATCCACCTCCTAGACAAACGATAGACAAACGGCTCTCGTTCACTGTACAGCTTTCTATTTGTTGCGAATGTCGAACACGGAACACCATTGGTTCAACTCTTTATTCAATACCGATGTTTAATTACCTCCTTGATAAGTAGAGAGGTAGTGCGCGGCCTTTAGACCGTGGTGGTCA